AAAAGAAAGAGAGTAAGAGGAAGAGAGGGTAAATTGCCACAGTCAGTCAGTCAGTCAGTCCATCCAACAAAGCGAAGCAGGAGAAGAAGCCCAAGCAGGAGATAGTGTGTGTAGAAGTAGTATCTCAGTGGTGACTCGAAGAGTGGTTGAGTGGATGGTTGCAGATAGTAGCTTGTGATGTGATTTTTGAATATCAATCAAGAGTGTGTGTGGATGTATGGTTTAGAAAAACGGTCAAAAAACCAGGAGTGGGAAAATACTTGTACCTGCGAGGTGGCCTGCCATGATTGCCTTTTTTCCAATATGGTTTGGGGACATTGTCCAGAATCCTCCAAAGCGAAGTGGTCACAAAAAGTGTATTGCAGATATGCTGATTAAGTGAGGGCGCCCGGACGTCTGGGGAGACAGACGATTCGGCTTACGCCAACACGGGAGGGAACTCCCACCTCGGGAACATTGCAGATCGCACGAGTAACCAATCCGCGCTCCTCGCTGGCTGTCTTGCTGACCCGTTGTTTTGTGGTATCTGGGGTGCGTTTCTTCCTGGCGGCGACGTGTTGCTGGGCATGGTGGTAGCAGCGTGACGGAGATCGAGGACACGAGGACACCGATGCTCAACCTTTTTCGCCGCTCTCGGTGGAAGATCAGCACTCTTGATGCTCGGATGCTGATGGTACTAGCTCAGATGCCCGGGGAAGACGTGTCCGTCCGAGGGACGAAGTGAGAGAGGGAGAGCGGCGTTCGCAGCTTGGACACGTCGCTGCATCGCCCATGTCGTGGCAGTACTACTCGCCAGCCGCACTCGATAGGCCTCCAATGCACTGGCAGTCATGTTATACAGCTCAACAGCGTTTGAAAGTAAAGTAGAGTAAAGCAAAGCTCCATAATCATTTCCATAATCGTAAAATCAATAGTACTCACAGGGGTATAATCCGCTCTTGCGCCCGCGCCTGCCAAAAATGCCAACCAAGTGTCGCATCATCGCTCCATGCTCTCAACCGACAGCACAGCACGGCAATCAACCAAAGACCCCAGCCCGATTCATCACGCCCTCGAAGTCTTCAATGTTGACGCCACCCAGTCCACCGCCCGTAGCCTCCCTGATCATATCCTTCAGCACATTCTCGGGGATGTCCTCGCGCAGCTCTTTCGCAACGCGCCGCAGGTCGTTGATGCTGATCTCACGGTCCTGTCCCTTGGTGAACAGCGCATAAGCCCTCTGGATCTCCTCGTTCAGCGCTTCCGGATCCTCATTTCGCGCGTGCAGTTTCAGCGCCGCGATGGCGACGAAGCGCTCGTAGTCCACCCAGCCAGAGTCGTCCGGGTCCACCGTCTCGATCAGCTCGCTCAGTTCCGCATTATCTCTCGGCGGCGCATTCAGCGCGATCAAGCAGCGGCGCACGTCTGCGGTCGGTATCGCGCCGTCTTTGGACTCGATTTCCTCGGGGTATACGCGGAAGATGTTGTAAGCCTCCTGGATCTCGGCCTCCTCCTCCGCAGTGATGTCGTTCTCTTTTGCCAGTTTCGAGCGGCGCTTGGTTGCAGGTTTGCTCGCTGACGCTGACGCTGCGGTCTGCTTGCGCTTGGGAGGCTACATCGTGTTAGCTGATGCGTGCCTCTCATAATCGTCATGTGATCTTGGACTTTGCGTACCATTATGGATGTGTAATGAAGCGCATCGGCGCAAAGGTCTTCCTGCGTGCACCTAGCATTCAAGCACAATGACGACGTGAGGTCAAGGATGATGCGCGACCCTTAGACCGCGACGGCGCGATATATGAAACCGCGACGGCCCGCACGGTTGAAAGAGAGAGAAAGAACGAAAGAAGGGAAAGCGCCAAGCCTCCAAAGTCTGCTTCAACTATTTCTTCCAACTTCAACAACACGACGGTCCTCCTCTTCTCATCCACATACAAAGTGAAGACCGCACTGCCAGTGCACTTGCGAACGCAATCTCACCATCCAGACAGCTCTGCAGCGACTGGAAGAACGAGACGAAAAGTAGCAGCAACACAAAACCGGTTTGTACAAAACAACAACAACCAAGACCCGCAACATCTATTTGCTAGAGCTCGGCATCGCATACCTCATCGATGCCGAGTGTAGAGATAGTTGCGAGAGTAATACCTCACACACCTGCTCTTCAATGGTTTACCACGCTGGCCAATTTTTGCCATACTATGTGGTCAGAAGCGAAGAGCACATTCCCTCTCTCTATCCTTGGAATTTTGATTTTTTCCATTGAAATTTTGAATCGTCCTCGTGTCTTGATTTGCTGTTCTTGCAAGAATGTCCTCGGCCTTCTTCGTAAGCATGCACGATCATGTCAGCCCGATGCCTACATGCCTCTTGTGCACACTGTGCGACTGGCTGGTCCCGTCTGGTCTCGACATGATGGCCTCCTCGATTGTCAAATTCGAAGTCACCCTCGTGCGCTTCGTGAGAGACGTCGGAAACGACTGTGAGACTATGCCACCAATCCTAGTGAGCAGTAATGAGATGGAACCATGGGAAGGACGTACACAATTTCACACTCAATGCCGTTTCGATTTTCGTA